ACACAGCTATCAAAGACATCAGCTGAGAAATATTTCACAGAGTATGTTACTGATTTAATGATAAAGAACAATGTGTTTGTAGATAAAATAATTCCTTCCTCAAAGCTGTTTTGAAATTCATAAGCAACAGAGTGAAAATCACAAAAATGAGATTGATTATCTGTTCAATATAATTATGAAACCCTCATATTGACAGTAAATGATGGTTGAATTGTGTACAGTCCAGTGGCAAATATTACATGCATATCAGAATGAGAACATGTGAACATGGTGAATATGAAATTAATTTCAACTCTGCTTATTAGACATGTACATTTAAAATTACTATTACATTTTGTTTAATTCATAGAAATGATTTTAAAATATTGCTTTTTCAGATTTTTACAAACGGGAGGACCAGATATTGTTACAAATCCAACATTTCATCAGTAAGTTTTATTTTACTTACCTTGTGAAAATGTAATGAAACTGATTTTGAAAACAAACAACTTGAACTTTAAAAAATAAAACCAAATCAAAACAAATGGAAAGCAATAAATACCACACTCACAAAAAAAAAGCAAATACACTTCTATCAGATCTTTATATACTAAACATATCATTTGCCATTGTGTTATGAAGGAATAATTGCTTTTGATCTTTTAATTTATTATACAGTTAATATCTGTGTTTTGAATCTTGTTTGCTCAATTCAAGGCTCTCAGTATTTTAGACATTTAAAAAAACAAGATATTGCTTGAATTTATCCCAAATTTATCCCAACTACAATGGGTTGTTCTATATGCTTGCTATATATTTTTTTTGAAACAGCTATTATATAAATGGAGGAGAAGCTACAATTGACCAGTTCATGGATATTGACATCTTGAATAGTTTAATGCCTGAGATAAATAAAGGCAATGAAATAGCAAAACATCCTCCATTTGGGAAAACATGGCTTGGTGAAACAGGATCAGCTTACGGAGGAGGTGCTCCAGGACTGTCTGATACCTATGTGGCAGGTTTTATGTAAGTAATGGTGCCTAGTTGCTTATGTTGGTGAGATTAAGAACATTCTATTTAAGAAAATAGTGAAAAAATTAGAGAAATTCGATTATTTACACACATTCAATAACTCTAAAAGCTTTGCATCTTTATTGTATGGTCTTCTGGTCTTCAAAACATCTCAAGTAGTTCAGCTCAGTCAATTGTTAAAAATAGAACCATGTACAATGTCATTGCACACAGGTTTTTAGTTTGCATAATGGAATTGTGTTCTTCATTTTGAGGCACATTAGGGATATTGACCCATTTGAGAAAATTAGATAATTCACTCAAGTGTTGTTTGGCTCATACTTAACATTGTTGAGGGACTATAGTCTGTTATGGAGGTGCTAAGGATTGTCCAGCACTTTCTTTTCAAACAACCCTATATTCAGAAGATTTTTATCTAGCCACGGGGGCATTAAATTTACCCTTGTCCATACATCCATCCGTCCGTACATCTGTTCGTCCGTACAAACATCCCAAAATTGGTTTCTGTTCTCTAACATTAGTTTGCCTCAACCAAATGTTATGAAACTTATATACTATGCATATTACCATAAAACACAGATCAGGTTCAAATTTTGGTGGAGTCACTTTTAGAGTTCTCTAGTTATGTCCTTTTGTAACGTTATATGCAAGCAGGGGCATCATCTGTGTCCCATGGACACTTTCTACATTTATTTAATTATTATGCTATTGGGTATTGATTTAATTGTCAAATGTGTAGTTTATATGCAGGTGCTGCTGAAAATGAATTCAATGTTAATTGTTCAAAACTTGAAGTCAGTGTTTTGACTACAATGATCCTTATTGTTTTAGAATAGAGTTTGATATAAACTTTAGAATATGTTTTTATTTATCCAAGCTCAGCTTATTTTGATTTTTGTACTACATTAATGGATGCATTTATGATAGGTAACTATTTTAAATCATAAATTGTTATATGTTTTAATCCAATGCACATATATTTTCCATTAGGTGGTTAGATAAACTAGGAATATCAGCAGTGGGTGGATTAGATGTTTTAATCAGACAAACTTTTTATGGAGGTCATTATTCCATAATTGATGACAAAACTAGTGATCCATTACCTGTAAGTACTTGTAACCATAGAAACGTAAGACAGAATATCTATGAAGTCAGTATGTCCTTATTGATGATGTGATATGTTATTTAAAAGTGCTTGCTACCGTAGTAATACAGGTGACATAGGTTTTGAAACTTTTGATCTTTTACCTTAATCCATTTTAAGAAGCTAAAGATATTAAAAAAATCTGAAAATAACATATCTACATAGCAATTCTTCCCCAAATTCCCTCAATCTACCTTCAGAAGCCAATATGAAAATTTGGAGATGGGGTATCATTGTAAATGAACTGGATACCAGAGATGGTTAGATCAAAGGATATGGATTTAAGCAACTAAAGGTCTTCAACAATGAGCAAAAACCATACTATAAAGTAAGCTATAGAATGATTCCGTTTTACAAAATGTAAAACATACAAAAAAGAAAACCAATAGCCTGATTTATGATATTATTTAGTTTAAAAACTGAGCGATTACCTAGATTTGGGTAAGTTCCTCTTGAAAACTTAACGATCTGATATTTTCAGTACATAATTTATTATATAGATACCTTAAGTTCACCTTTGTTTTGAATGCCACTTAAGATGAGTGATATATATATCAGCACCAATAGATTTACATATAACAATTGCCATGGAACTTTAAGGAGTTATAATAGATTTAAAACAATATAAAACTAACAAAACCTTTCTGTATTTTGTAGGATTATTGGTTATCATATATATATAAAACTTTAGTTGGGAGATCAGTGCTGAATGTTTCAGTTGATGATCCAGAAGGCTTGGTTAGAATGTACTCCCATTGTACTAATGTAAAAAGGTTGGTATAATAACTAATTATATACTACACACAATCTGATTCAGTTACATATTTCAATTGGTTATGTTGAGTGAATCACTGTGAAACAGGGTGATTGCTGATAGTTTTAGATGATAGAAAATATCTTATTTTCAACCTTCTCATTCAATAGGTATATGTATAATCTATACATAAAGATTTCTAGTATAAATCACCAACAGGTACAACCATTCACTATGACGAATGAACCACACACATGTACCAGTATTCACTATGAAAATCAACACCCTTATCTATGTTCTTAATGCACAGATGTAACATTTTTAGCAACCAGAAAAAAAATTACCCTTAAACAGTGCTACAGTCATCTTTAACTTGCAGTTGGATTATTTTTTGTTCCTGTTAAAGGATTTTTTAATTATAGTTTATTTGCACTCTTTTTTCTGGAATACTATCTATTGGTTAAATACTTGATATATAGTCCACTCGTAGCAAAGAAAATTTCATTTACCTGCCATTTGAAGACATCATTATAACCACCAATATTATTAACTTATTCAATGAGAAGTTACATATCTTTTTTGAGTTTTGTTTGGGTGAGTAATTTTTGCTAAAGTTGTGGCCTAATTTCTTGAAAATCTCAGTTTTCTGCACTTTATTAAGTAATGCCTTATTCAATTGAAAAGGAATTTGGTAAACAGTCATATCATAAGAATTTACATGTAGAGTTTGAATTTGAAATGATTAGATATTTTGTATAGAATTCTAGCATAAAAAGATAGAGATCAAGTTTGAGTTTTGTTCTGGTTAAGCATTTTTTCTTTCATCAGTAAAAACTAAATGCTAGGGATAGTCCTATATAAATTAAAAAACACCTGTGGTAAACATTACAGCCAGTAGGAGACATTGTATATCGTAGCAATATCCGTGGAGCATGACTTATGAAAGGTCACAACTTTTAAATAACATAATATTATGATAAAACAGATGTAGCCTTTTAATATCGGTCAATACTATTTTTATTATTGTCTTATTAAAGTATATTGACTAAGGTCTGCACCCTCAGTCAATATACTTTAATCAGGTCGATAAAAACTTACATTGACTATGACAATAGGATATAATTGTATAATATATTTTTCAGGTCTAATTATACTGCTGGAAGTATAACAGTATGTGGAATGAATCTTGGTAACAGCTTTAAAACAATAAATTTCCCACAATATGGAGATGATGTTACACTGCATGTATATGTATTACAACCCCAGGAGAGCTTAAAATCACAGTAAATATACATATCTGATGTTCAGTAGTTGTTGTTTGTTGATGTGGTTCATAAGTGTTTCTTGTTTCTCGTTTTTTATATAGATTAGACCATTGGTTTTCCCGTTTGAATTGTTTTACACTAGTCATTTTTGGGGCCCTTTATAGCTTGCTGTTCGGTGTGAGCCGAGGCTCCATGTTGAAGACCGTACTTTGACTTATAATGGTTTACTTTTATAAATTTTGACTTGGATGGAGAGTTGTCTAATTGGCACTCATACCACATCTTCTTATATCTATATACATGATATATCCTGAAATATTATTATATTTTTTTCTTCATTCTTTAGATAAGTGTGAGAAATTCCATAATTTTCTAATGAAGTGTTGAATATTAACTACAAAAGATAAAAAAAATTCTCACAGAATATTAACTACCGGTACAAAAGATAAAAAAAGAAAATTCACACAGAAGTGGAAGAGACAAAGCTAATTGCTGAAAACAAAAAAAAGATTAGACTATTCAGGAAAAATATGATGAGTGGGAAAAAATGGCTATACAAAATAGTTTTTTATATGCATTATATACAAAAGGAGCCCAACATGTCTGTTCTTTATAATTGAGGCAAGAACACTGTATGTAGCAGTCATCGCAGATGAAAAGTATATAATATGGTGCAACATCCAAAAGGTTCTTATGTTTCCTACAATGAACTATCACTGCGAAAGGATTTCAAATATTACTTGAAATTTGGAATTGATTTCATATTAAGTCATTTGAATATTGGTATACTTAGGTAAAATAGTCTTATTTCTTTACTTTTCAGGGCAGTAACACTGAATGGGAGACATTTAAAGCTGAATGAAGATTTCACATTACCAAATGTGTTGATCCCTGTGATAAGGACAGGAAATGTAACATTCCCACCACAATCATTTGGATTTATTGTTCTACCAAATTCTTAAGCTGAAGCTTGTCAGACTGTAAAATGATATTAGTCATTTGGAATGTATCTCATGCCTGCAAAAATGTCGCGGAAGCAAGACTTTTTTGTGCTATTTCTGACAACAGAAACATAAAAAAATTGTTGAACTTTGTGATTAGGTTAGTCTTAGGGGAACATCTAATAGTAAATCAATGATATGTGGTGTTAAGTTGTATTAGCATTGACAGATCTCATGGATTTTTAGGCCATGACCCCTTAGTCATGGTCTATTGAATTTGAAACTTTTGCATTGGTTTACATGATGAGGTTGGTTTAAAGGGAACCAATTAAGGTAAGTGATTGATATTTGGGATGCAGTTCAGTCGTATAAGCATTGGAACACATCATTTCCATGAAGATTTTATGACCAAACACCCTCAGTCATAATCCATTGACTATACAAGTTATGCATAATTTAAATATTTAAGTGTTGCCGTATTTCAATTTCATTTTTATGCCCCACCAAGGGGCATTATGTTTTTCAGTCTGTGCGTCTGTCCGTCCGTCTGTCTGTCCCACTTTAGGTTAAAGTTTTTGGTCAAGGAAGTTTTTGATGAAGTTGAAGTCCAATCAACTTGAAACTTATTACACATGTTCCCTATGATATGATCTTTTTAATTTTAATGCCAAATTAGAGTTTTGACCCCAATTTCACGGTCCACTGAACATAGAAAATGTTAGTGCGAGTGGGGCATCCATGTACTGTGGACACATTCTTGTTTGCATTATACTATAAAAATTATATACAGGCGAGACATACAGTTTATCTCTGTGTTAACAGTTTATTAGTTGATCTTCATGGGGAACATATATAGGGCATAATAAGCTATAGTCATCACATAAAAAAGTCTGTCTTTAGACAATTTACATTTTCATGTTTCTGAAATAACCAAGTCAGTTTCATCAAAATTGGCAGGAAAAATATACGGAAAGTCCTTCTTACAAAACCTTATTTTTTATTCTTTGATCCTTATAAACCAATTTTTGTAAATGTTCTCAGCTGTAGAATCAAGAGAATGAGGATAGGAAGAAACAACAAACAGATGTTGATTCTCATTAGAAAGTTTAAAAAACTACACTTGAAATATTTTGAAACTTAAGGGAATTGATGATTGGACAGCTCTGTACAAATGGTCCTCATGAACTGTGGGGTAAAAAGTGTATCAAAAGTACTGAACTCCAAGGCTAATTCAAAAAAGGGAAGTCCATAAAAACTGACAAAATCAAACGCTATCAATCAACAGAACAAGTGAATGTTGATCCAGTGAAAATCATGGCAGCAATGTTGGCACACATTTTTATTTTTGGAAAAGCACTTATAATATCTTCCCTCAAAGTCTGAAACTACTAAGAAAGGTTCAAACAAACTTGGCAGAAATACTGTACAGAAGGTCCATTACAAATTCTCATTTGGTTCTGATCAAATGAACAAATAACCTACAGGGAACTCTTTCATCTTAATTTGACATTTAAAACAATGACCTCTAAACAATAAGGTAAAATGTTACTAAACTTTTAGGGATTGATGATAGGTGATAATTCTCATAACCTGAATCTCCAGTGGCATTTTAATCTTATAACAAAAAACTCTAGGTGCAATGCTATATATAGTCCTTTTGGTGATTAAAGGTTCTGATCAAATGAACAAATAACCTACAGGGAACTCTTTCATCTTAATTTGACATTTAAAATCAATGACCTCTAAACAATCAGGCAAAATGTTACAAAACTTTTAGGGATTGATGATATGTGATAATTCTCATAACTTGAATCTCCAGTGGCATTTTAATCTTATAACAAAAAACTCTAGGTGCAATGCTATATATAGTCCTTTTGATGATTAAAGCAAAGATCATGGATCTTTTTGATAATAAAACAAAGATCATGGATCCTTTTGATAATTGAAACGAAGATCATACATCCTTTATCACCTTACATCTTTCTTTTATGCGATGAAATTCTAGAAATTTTACCAGAAATAAATAAAGAACTTAAAGTAATTAAATTGATGATACAGACTAATTCATTTCCCAATACGCAGATGACACCTATAATACTTGGTAGTTCTCCCAAATCTCTGTATGAATCTCTTCGCTTACTGTAAAATATGCTGAAATGTCTGGTCTCCATATGAACGTGTACAAAACGGAAGTGGTGTGGATAGGCAAAAAGAACTATAGTTAACCTGAGACACCATGTGTGGAAAGTGGGGGTTGGAATGGGGTTCAAGTAAGTTTAAATTACTAGGTATAAACTTTTCTGTCTATTTGCATGAAATGGAATTTTTGAACTATGTTTCAAGAATAAAAAGATATTGAAAATATACTGTAATAAAAATTTGGTCTAAACAAACATTAACACCAGTTGGAAAAATAACAATCATCAAGACACTGATTGTTTCACAATTAAACTGACTGTTTTTAATATATCAAGCACCATACAAAAATACTTTTATAAAACAACTAATTAATAGAACTTATTCATTTAATTGGGAAAACAAACCTGAAAAAATAAAAAAAGAGAAATATTATGTCTTGAACATAAATTTGAAGGGCTGAAAGTGCTAGATATTGGCACATATATAAAGGAGTTGAAATAAATATGGATTCGACTTTTATTGTTAAAAAGCAACCAGAAAATAAATAAGCTATTAGAAAATACCAAAGAAAAAATATTGTATATCTAGGCCCAACAAAAACATGTAAAACCCCTTTTGGAAAGAGGTCTTTAAGACTTGGACAGAATTGCAAAATGAACTTATACCAAAAAATGAAAACGAGTTTGTATCAAACTCATTCTGGAATAATGAAAATATCAAAACAGGAACATCATCTATTTTCTATAAAAGATATGGCAGATGAAGGGATCTTTTTGATACATGATCTAATAACTTTTCAACAATTCCAAAATGTGCATAACATTTAGGTAAATTTTCTAACTTAAATGGGGTAATTTCTGCAAAAAAGTCATATAAAAAATCTCTCAATAATATTATATCTATAGACTATCTTTGTAAAACTCCAGGACCAATAATTCCAAATAATATAAGAATATTTCTTTTCTCTAAAAAGGCTCAAAGAGATGTATGTTTATTAGAAATATATTCAATATTATATATTATATTTATAATACTAAACTTTAATAGCTGTGAAGATAGATGGTCCTTAAGTTTGAACAAACACTTTGATAGGAAAAACGTTCATAATATGGCTTTTTACTCCACAAAACTTCGTTTGGAAAAACGTTCATAATATGGCTTTTTACTCCACAAAACTTCGTTGGTTCCAGTATAGAATAATACACAGAATCTTGAGCACAAATGTTATTTTTAGAATTAAGATAAAGCAAAGCGATAAATGTACTTTCTGTAATGTAGCTATTGAAGATATTGAAGATATTGAGCACATATTTTGGACATGTCATAAAATAGCAAAGCTGTGGATAAAACTCTGTGACTGGATTTATAACCCAACACAAATAATAATTCCGTTAAACATGGATATAATTTGATTTGGAATATTTTAGGAAAAATAGGAAATTCTTCATTCTTAGAACAAAACTATGTGAAAATCAAGTAAAATTTTACAGGACTCAAAAATCTTCAAAAAAATCTAATACCAAAAGTTTATGTAGGCCATGTCTTCCATTACAAGAATATTTTTACTAAAGAATTACCTATTTTATATATTATACATTTTATATTGTTATATGTTTTTTTTTGTTATTGTTTTGTGCTTATACCTTTGTATGTTTGAATAATTGTTTGTGCTCGTATGAATTTTTATAACAGAAAACCATCCTTGCCAAGTGTATTAAATGCTGTAGTTTAAGACACATTTATCTGTGAATATATACTGTTGCCAAAAGTCCAAATTTCTGTATTATTGTTTTTTGCTTTGGTTTTTATTATTTATTTAATTTGTATTTTCTCGTTTCTTTTTCTTTAGCTAAAATATAGGTCTTTATTGCACAATACTATGGAAATAATGGATACAAAATAATATATAAATGTATATTTCAGAATTTAGATTACTAACAAGTACTAACTAGTTCTATTTGATTATATACTACTAACGTTTGACAAGGCCTGGATAAGGAGCACCACTATTTTCTGTATCCAAGTAACAATTGTTAAAATTTTCAAGAAAGTATGGCGCAATTTAAAAAAAAAAAGAAAAAGGAAGACCATGGTTATAATATTAATAACTAAATGTCATCCATTCTTGTATAAAAGAGATTGATACAGTACTAGGTATCAAACATTCATGTTTTTGTTTATTTTGATACTGAACTTTAAAGGTCAAAGCTTTTAACACACCAACAAATGACATTTAGGTTCAAGTTCTTGTTCTGATATACAGATAAACAATTTATTTTCTTATATCCCAATATTTCATTGGCTAGTTTCCATTTGCCCACTTGTTTTTAAATCTCTTCAGTTATATGGTTTTTATATGTTTGTGTATATCAAATTTTTCAAGGAAAGATACTGACCCTAGAAAATTGATTAAAAATTTAATTTATATGACTTTGAGTACTTACAGGGTGGGAAACCCAAGTCACATGTGGTGTTTTCATTTCTCTATAAATTGTCTTTGTTTTTTTGAGTACAATAATATTGCATAGTAAATTGTTGTGCAAAGTAGTTTATTGAACTAGAGTGAGCATCTGTCATTGAAGTCATTAACATGCTTACATAAAGTGTCAACAAAATTTTAATGTGAGTCTGTACAACAACATTTTTAGTAAACATAATGTTTATACCTTAAATTCAAAGAGTTTTCAATCGAAGGTACAATGTACATGCAATATTTTGTCCATTAGATGCAAATGCAGAGTATATATCACAAATATTACAGTCTGCTTTGATAATTTTCTTTTTTTGTGTATTTTGGCTGCAGATGTGACAGATAGCACTTCTTAACAAACTACTGAGTGGAACTAGAAGTGTTTGAGAAACTAACATTTGTTTAGGACTTCAATAACATTAAGAGGTAACTATCATTGGGTGTAGTACTTTGCAAAACAATTTATTATCAGATATTAATTATAATTTAGAGAAAATTAATACAATTTACCTTGAAGTGTGTGTTTTGGTCACATCATTTTTGTGTGTACAAAGCTTTTGTTATTTAGTTTGGCAAGTCTGTTGATAAAGATATAACTTTTATTTTGAACAAGATCAGATGTTGTTATTTAATTTCATAATGAAGAATTTTATATGCTTTAAGGTATACACATATTTAAATTAAAATATATTTTTGCTAAAAGAATATTGTTTTATATGGAAGAGAGATATGGAGTAAAAGTATGTATAATTTAGAGGCAATAGTAGTTTACAGATGAGTGAAAACTGGTAAATCCATTTTGAATACATAAAAACAAAAGAAAAAAAAAGACCAGAGGAAATCATGTGAACCAAAATGTACTGAGACTAGATGCATAGAGAGGGTATATAAGAAGTAACAGTAGTTAACTGATGTTCAAATCTCATAAATCCATTTAGAAATTCAAATCAAGTGAAAAAACGGATGTAATCACATGAACTCTAAAAGAAGCAAGACTAGGTGTGTTGAAAGGGTAAATGTCTCCTGATAGGCTTGCATCACCTGCCATGGGAATCTGTGACACAAATACTATAAAACTGTTAATATGAAAATAATTCCAAGATCTGGCAGACACTACCATATATCCACATATTAAAAGAGTATCAATTTATTTCATGAAGAATTCAAAAGAAAAATTCCATCAAAATCTGAGGAAAAGTAAATGCTGCCCATCAGTGTTCTTTCCATGCTGTTTTATGTCTGTGTTTTTTCAGAATGAAATTTGTGAGAAAGATGTAGGAAATCTTTTTAAAATGAAATAAGAGCAAAAAATCAAATCTTAGAATTATGAAATTGTTAATGAAATATTGTAACGTTCCGGGGGTTTGAGCCAGGATACCCGTGTTACTTATGTGGGCCTCTGGTGAAGTAAGTAATAATAAAAATCTTAATGGAAGTTCATAAATTGTATTATTTTCTGCTTCAGTAATATGCAATACAACAAATACAGTGGTTCATAAAACATATAACAATATATAATAAGTAAAATAGCCAGGTGCATTACTCAAGTTAAACTAAGTTTAATAAAACAATTGTTCTAGCGCTCGGTGCGAGAAAACCTACTTGGGACACTGCATACTTGGTGCAAGAAAATCTGCCTGGTGCAGTGCATTCAAATACTCAGCATACTAGGTGCATGGTTAGCGATTTACCCGAGCAAACAGTACGTCAGCATTTTTATATGAAGACTTGGTTAATTATCAAGTCTATTAAATATTATCACCAAGCCACTCTTACTTGGTGCAGTAAATTATAGTTTGAGATATACTGCTAACCGCATGGAGATGCTTGAAGAGAAGGTCACAGTAAGAACATGCGTTCCGTATTTTATACAAAAGCGTTGTTTACTGATGACGTAATACACAAGTTATTCATAAACAAGAACAGGAACACGTAACGCTACATTTGGCGCGTTACACTGAAACTAAATGTAAACAAATACAAAATTAACAATTATACCCATAAATAAAGTCGATATGCAGATTTAAGGAAGGCTTTCAATAATGTTAGGTCCAGGTAAGCAATTCCTTCTGTAAAATACGGATCAGAACATAATTAACAACGGACATCTGCATCTATCAGTGTGGAACGGAGACCGCAGTGATAATATGAACACAACTATGTAATTTACACAAGTTAAAGTCACAGTAATACTGATATAAACTGTCAAACCACAGGGGCGGAACAATATATAAATATATGTGTAGACAACTGAAAGATAAACTGTCAAACCACAGGGGCGGAACAATATATAAATATATGTGTAGACAACTGAAAGATAAACTGTCAAACCACAGGGGCGGAACAATATATAAATATATGTGTAGACAGGGACAGTCTATACTAACTGTATAGAAAGTCCCTGGTGTAGACAACTGAAAGTGTAAACATACTCTGCTAAATATTTACACTTAAAAAAAGCGGGGTACAAATATTTACACAAGCATTTCAATTATTTATATGATTTATGCATTTAATTTTCAATGCTAAATATACTGAAAGTAAAAGCATTTCTATTTCTGTTAATGCTTATGTACACAGCTTTTCCCCCCAACTTTTTATAATATAACCATGGCAGTACAAATGTTACATCACATTGCAACACAAAAAAGTGAACTAGTCTTATTTCGTATTCTTACCAAAACACTTAAAAAAATATGGGGAGAAGACTGCTGTGTACATTTATTCCACTGTTTTAAAATACTTAAAATGTGTTTTTTTTCTCTCAGAATTGAATATGGTCACAAGAATTGAAACCAATACACGATAGTTGGGGTATAAATTAGTGTTTTGTATCTAGGCTTAATGTGTTAAAATTACACGAGGATTGGTCATCAGGGCTGTAAATTATGTTGAGGCATTCCTCCTATTGCTGGCAGACCATATGAACGTCAACTGAAAAGGGGGAAATGCAGCAGCTAAAACTTTCGATCACCATTGCAGGATGAGGATTTTTATCCCATTTGTAGATCACACCTTCAAGCATCTTAACGACAGATTTGCAATGAAACCCAATTGAATGCTTTATGGATTCTATTTTTTTCCATGGTATAGAATAGGCATG